TATTTCCTTTGGATATAAGATAGCTGGGTTACCTCGTGAATCTATTTTCAATATTTGAGGAAATTTTATACTGTTTTTTATAGTGGTTCTATGAATTAGCATTCCACCAACAGTGTATTATGGTTCCTTTTTCTCTATAACCTCACCAGCATTTGCTACATTTTTTGTTCCATTCTAACTGGAATAACATGATAGATCATTGTGGCTTTTATTTGCATGTCCATGATAGGTGATACTGAGCACTTTTTTGCATTTTTTGGTCATATGTATTTCTTCTTTGGAAAAATGTGTATTAGGATCCTTTGTCCATTTCTTATCTGGACTTTGTTGTTGAATTTCTTGAGTTGCTTATATATTCTGATTCCTAATCCATCATGTGGTGCATTTTGCTGATACTTTCTCCCATTCTGTATCTTTTCATTCTGTAAATTGTTCCTTCTTGGTTGGATATAATCCCTTTTGTCTATTTTTACTTTTACTACTCTTTCTTTGGGGATCTCATCCAAATATTAATTATGTATGACTACATCAAAAAGTGTTTCCCAAATTTTCTCATCCATTCATTTCAGTTTCATTTAGGTCTTTGATTCAACTTAAGTTTCTTTCCTATAGGGCTTAAGGCTGGGGTCTTGTTTCAAACTTCTGTGTGTGAAAGTCCAGTTTTCCCAGCACCATTTACTGAAGAAACTGTCCTTTCTCCAAGGAGTGTTTGTAGCACCTTTGTGAAAGATAAGTTGGCTGAAAATGCGTGGATTTACTTTGGGGATTTCTCTTCTGTTCCAGTGGTCCACATGTCTACTATTTTGCCCATACTATGCTGTTTGGGGTATGGTAGGCCTGTAAATTATATGTTTATCTGTGTACCAATTCCAAGACAGTTCAATTACCTAAGATCTTATAAATTACATTTTTGTGGTTTTGTTATAATTGCTATTTATTATAATTCTGCACTCATTTTTAGGCCAAAAAACATAATTATGACTTTATAGACCTTTAAGTTTAAGCACATATGAACTCTTTTCTCTTCTAACCCTTTTGAAATTCCCTCTGGGATAATTTTTCTTTCATATGGGGAAAAACCTTTTGTGTTACTTTAATGAAAGCCTGCTAGTGAAAGATTCATGTTTTCATTATTAAATATACCTAGGTTGAAGGAAAAATATTTTAAATATAAATAAAATGGGAGGAAAGCATGAGGGCTATATAGGAGATGTCAAAATGATCTAACATAAGTACAACTAGAGTTTTACAAGAAAACAGCAAATAAAGAGGTGATACTGGTAGATATAATAGATGAGAAGTTTCCCAAACTGAGAAAAGTGTCAAACAAGAATGTATTTTTTCTTTCTCTTCCAACTCATAAATTTTTAATCCAACTCATTGACAAAGTTCTCAATTTTAGACATTACATTTTTGAATTCCAAAATTTACATTTAGTTCATTTTTCTAATTTCTAGTTCTCTGCTCATATCCTCCTTCCTATAGTTTAATTAATTAATCACATTTTTAATGTGTTAAATCCACATCTAAATATAAATATATAATATGATATTTTATATTTTAAAATATAATGTTACTATAAATAAATATTTAAATTTATAAATATAAAATAAAATATCAATATATTTTATATATATATTTTATATATTTTATTATATATATTATATATTATATATATTATATAGATATAATATATATATTATATATTTTATTTTATATATATTTTTTCTTCTCATTTTCTTTTTTTATATATGGTTAATATTCAGTGCCAAATATTATGAATCAGAACTCACAGATTAAATTTATTAATTAATAGAAACTTAGTTTTTCAACTAATTACATTTTAAAAATAATTTTAAAAATTAAATGTTCAATAAGATTCAATGCTATAAGTTTTTCAAAAAATTTTTTTTGCATTATGCCTACTTTCTCTTGTATGGAAAATCTAGATTCCTAGTAAAAATAATATCTATTTTCGGCCGGCGCCGCGGCTCACTAGGCTAATCCTCCGCCTTGCAGCACCGGCACACCGGGTTCTGGTCCCGGTCGGGGTGCCGGATTCTGTCCCGGTTGCCCCTCTTCCAGGCCAGCTTTCTGCTGTGGCCAGAGAGTGCAGTGGAGGATGGCCCAGGTCCTTGGGCCCTGCACCCCATGGGAGACCAGGATAAGTACCTGGCTCCTGCCTTCGGATAGGCGCTAGGCGCAGTGCGCCAGCCGCAGCGCACCGGCTGTGGTGGCCATTGGAGGGTGAACCAACGGCAAAGGAAGACCTTTCTCTCTGTCTCTCTCTCTCACTGTCCACTCTGCCTGTCAAAAAAAAAAAAAAGGAAAAAAATAATATCTGTTTTCTTTCATACTATATTATATACAAACTATTCCAAACTTTTAATGTGAATATAATAATAAATTAGGACTATTAAATAAAACAAATGAATACTGTGACTTTTACTCTACATAATCCTGTATTTTAATAAGTTCTATAATTTGTTTGTACATTCACTGTGTTGATGTTAAATTTTTTATTTTATTTTACTTTACTGAAAATCTTGACATGTATTATGAAGAAAAATATGATGCTTTCAGTTACATGTATATATGAAAAAATGTTCTATTGTTTTTCTTGTTTTACTCTACTTACATGTATTTCATAATATTATCTCTATTTGCTCTTTTTAATTTTGTATTTTTTATTTATCATCATTTTATTTGAAAGGCAGAGAGACAGAAAGTTAGAGAGATCTTCTACCTGTTGATTCACTCTTCAGATACTCATATAGCAACCAGGCCTGGACCAGGCCTCAGCTGGGAGCCCAGAGCTCAGTCTGGGTTGCTCATGTGCATAGCAGAACCCCAAGTCTTGAGTCATCTGCTTCCCAGAGGATACATCAGCAGGAAGCAGAGATCAGCAGTGGAGCCAGGACTTGACCAAGGCTTCCGGAGGGGAGATGCAGGAGTTCCAAGAGACATCTTAACCACTATTGTAAATGCCAGTCTGAATTGTACATTATTTCGATATCAAATTTTATAACTTTTGTGTTTACCTTTCTGTAATATCCTTAGTTCCCACTTAGGAAAAAAACACAAGTTTCCATTATTTGAGTAACCAGATTTTTTTTTTTAATATCCTCTGACTCATACCTGTTACTGATGAGGAAATCAACATATTTTTTCTTTTTGTTTTTCTGTTCCGCCCTTGCCCCTCCTCGTTAAAATGTGGTGTGTTTCATTGGTCAATTAACATTTAACTACTATTCTTTCACGTGCAGACTTACTTTGGTTTGTGTTATTAAATTCTGAACACCAGTGTAGGGAACTTTCCTAAATAACTCTTGATAGGATGTAGCTTGGATTCCTGAGGTAGTACTTATATGTGCAATTTTCTCAAAAGCTTACACCCTTAAAAATTTTTTTCTATACTTATGGTATAGATTTTAAAAACAGATTGCCTGTGTGTTAAATTTTATCTATCATTTTATTTCCTAGAGTTTCTTGAAAATGTGGTTCCATTATTGCCTCTTTTCATATATAATTATCAATAAATCAGATGTCAACCTGATTTTCTCTCCAATTTGAATATTTGAACTTTTTAAGAAGATGCAGAAGAAATGGCATTCTAAGTGTCTAGTAATTTTACTAGGATACATTTGTAATTGACAAACTGAGCTCAATTTCTCAAGTTTTTCCAAGTGTATTATAACCTGTTGGATTATGTTGAAGGCTTTCTTTTACTTTTAAGACACTGAAAAAGTTTAAAACAATAGTTTTATTGAATAGCCTCATTTTAAAATAATGCATACAATGGATATCATTTGCCTGGTTCTATATAACTTTGACTCTGATCTCATTTTATCTCTGCTTTAATTAGAGTTAATTTTCTTGGTTCTTTTCATTTTTAGAACTTATTTGCAACTTGGATCATTATATTCCTTGGGATACCTTGCAATTTATTCTTCACTTCTGAAATGAATTTTGTTCTTTCAAATTTTGCCCTGTGTTAAGTAAGTTTTTGCTTTTAAGTTTGATATTCTTAGCCATTTCCATCATGGGGTTTGAATTTCTCACTCAGCGTGTTCTTTCCTGTGTTGGTCTGCAGGTTTAGTGACCTGTAACTTATGATGGAATATTATCATATGGTTTTCTCTGTCTTTGGCCAGAATCAGCATCAGTAAGGTTCAGATTTCAATAGCCCATAGAAAATCTGGGTGTTCTTCAGTGTATACATGTTTTGATCAATGGTCAGTTTTTTTAGTCAGAGAACTTTTTGTGTATGTTTGTGGTTTGTGTGTTGGCCTCATTTTAACTTAATCACCTAATCAAAGATCAGCTCTCAGAGAAGATCTTGTCCAGCAATGCTCCTTCTTCCATAATATCTCTACTTTCTTTGCCTGAGTGCTGTTCCTAAAACCTTAATTTTTTCCTTCCATACCACATTTAAGAGAATGGTTAAATTCAAGCTTGCAAGGGACAGTAACTTTTCCTTTAGTAATGTTAGTAATACTAACTGTCAAACTATTCCTTTGTCATATTCCTTATTTTCTGCATATATGAATAATAATATTTCTCGTTAAATTTAAGTTCTTTCAAGAATTATAATTCAAAATGTATAATCATGTACATTTATTAATATGAATAATAGTTTAAAACAAGGAAATGAAATGGCAAACTTTATTCAACTAGAATGTGAACCAGTTTGCTTACCAAAAACTGTTTCAAACCCATTATTCTCTTTAGATTCTAATACTTTTCAACCTTGTGACCATCGAAAATATATAACTACATATACTAGCAGTATGACAAATATAGCACTGAAGGCTGAAATTCATTAAAAATTTTTCAATTTATTCAGTGCATAAGTCAAAATGTGGGATACAGGAAAAAGTGCATTTTCTGTATTTTAAAGTCATAAAACTATGTAAAGTTGATGATAAATAAGTAAATATATAATTAAATTCTTGGTCATGGAGTTGGAATGAATTACCAAAAGTTTTTTGAGCTGATGGATTAAGGAAAATTAATTGTCTCTGACAGTGTGAATTCTTAGGCATGTGTGTCTACAGAATAGCTGTCAGAAGACAGCACTTGTGATCTAAGTTACTTAGGAAATTTTCCTCAGACTCAGTACATGACTAACCAGTCTCCTCATTGCCGTCTTCATGTCCTTATTCCTCAAGGTGTATATGGCAGGATTCAGAATGGGTGTAATCATGAAATCCAAAATGGCAAGAAATTTATCCACTGATACTGTGGGAAATGGCCACATATAGACAAAGATGCATGGCCCAAAAAACAAAACCACCACCGTGATGTGAGCTGAAAGGGTGGAGAGGGCCTTGGACAAACCACCCGAGGAGCGTTTCCATACAGTGACCAGGATGAAGATGTAGGAGATCATCAATAAGAAGAAAGTGCCTGTGGAAATAAACCCACTGTTGGCAGTTACCATGAATTCCATTCTATAGGTGTCTGCACAGGCAAGTTTGATAAATTGAGGAAGGTCACAGTAAAAGCTATCTATCTCATTAGGACCACAAAAAGGCAAATGAACCACAAAAGCTAACTGAGCCAATGAGTGAAGGAGACCAATAACCCAAGCACCGGACAAAAGCAAAATGCACATCCGAGGGCTCATGATGGTCAGATAGTGGAGGGGCTTGCATATGGCCACATACCTGTCCAAGGCCATTGCAATTAGTAGCACCATCTCAGACCCACCCAGAACATGAAGAACAAATATCTGAAAGACACATCCCTGGAAGGAAATGGTATTTTTATCAGAGTACAAGTCAGAAAGCATCTTAGGAACCGTTAATGTAGACAGACATAAATCAATAAACGAGAGGTTTCCTAAAAGGAAGTACATGGGAGAATGTAAATGAGGATCAAGCATCACAGTAAATACAACAAGAACATTGCCCAGGACAATTGTTACATACAGCACTGCAGAGAAGGCAAGGAGGAAACGCTGCACTGGTCTGCAAGCAGAAAGGCCCAGGAACACAAATTCAGAAACCTCAGTGAAGTTTACTGCATACATTGGTTTTGTAGGATATTACCTAAGAGATAGAAAACAAAACAGGAATAAAGGGAATTTATCAGAAATAATATTGAAGGAAACAAATTTCAATCATTTTTAAAATCTGTATTAAAAGTTTCATGAGCACATGGTATTTTGAAAATTCATGTACGCATAGATCCACCAAATTAATTAAAAATCATCTAAAATTTCCCATGGAACTGTGTAAGGTTCTGAGTTAAAAGACTGATTGTGACTTCAGGCAAAGCTAAGTAAACAGCCATCAACACAGACATACGTTGATGACTGATTCTAAGGAAAACAATAAAGTGCTCTAAGGATGATGTGACTTAGCACACTGGTGCTTGCAGAGGCTGATGAAGGAAAGTCGACCAATACAAGTTTTGGAAGTAGCATGTAAACACTCTGAACCAGGAAGGCCAGCAGACAGAAGAACAGACGGAAGTGACAGGACAGCCTTACGATGTGGTATCCCTGATAAGAATTTTGGTCTTTATCTGAAGAGCAACCGAGAGTTACTGAAGGATGATAAGCAATTGCTTGATAATATTTCTCCTTCAAATGGTCACAATGTAAAGAACGAAATGAAAGAGTCAGAGAGAGCCCACAATAACCTATCGGGAAGAATGCTATCATACGATGAGCAGGATAAACTCTCAACCAGGGATGCTGGGACAAGTGACACTTGCAAAAATAATGATCTTTGCCTCTTGACGTAAATAAGTATTGGAGTTTTTAAGTGTTAAATACAGAAACCCAAAGGAAGTATAGGAATGCCTAGACAAAAATTAGCTTGGAAAACTAAACATTACTCATGTTTACAAATAATTGAAGAAACCAAGTATAATACCCAAAATATTAAAATAGAAATAATTCTAAATATATATACAGTACTCAGATATGTAGATATATGTATAATTATTTTATACAGAAATATAAGAATTGTAAATAATTTATACAAAACAGCTGCAAAATATCGAACAAAAATTGACATACTTAATATAAAATCAATTCTTCCATAAGATAAATGAAAAATGTATAATTCAAATTCAAAATAAAGACATTAACAAAAGATGAAATCCATATGGCCAGATAATCACATTAAAAGTAAACCACACACTAGTGATCAAAGACGTGTAACATGCAGTGTTTACAATACATTGATGGAGCCGGCATTGTGCAGTAGCAGGTAAAGCAGTCGCCTGAAGTGCCAGCATCCCAGATGGGCACTGATTGACTCCCAGCTGCTCCACTCTTGATCCAGCTCTCTGATATGGCCTGGGAAAGCAGTAGAAGCTGGTCCAAGTGCTTGGGCCCCTGCACCATGTGGGAGACCAGGAAGAAGCTCCTGGCTCCTGGTTGGATCGGCTCAACTCTGGCCATTGCAGCCAACTGGGGATGAACCAGAGGATGGAAGACCTTTCTCTCTCTCTGCCTCTCCTTCCCTCTCTGTGTAACTCTGACTTTCAAATAAACAAATAAATCTTAAAAGAATAAAATAATAAAATACATTGACAACCTGGTAAATAACAAATTGTCAATGTGTTTTACAAGGTGATGACTTCTTATAAATGAGACTATAAAGATATAGGCATGCTCATGCACTGTTGATGGTGGTGCAAATTGATAGAACATTTCTAGAAGACACATTCAAAATAGATAGCAGGGGCCTGCGCCACAGCTCACTTGGCTAATCCTCTGCCTACGGCGCTGGCATCCCAGGTTCTAGTCCCAGCTGGGGCGCTGGATTCTGTCTCTCTTCCAGTCCAGCTCTCTGCTGTGGCCCAGGAGTGCAGTGGAGGATGGCCCAAGTGCTTGGGCCCGGCACCCTCATGGGAGACCAGGAGAAGCACCTGGCTCCTGGCTTCGGATCAGCTCAGTGCTGGCTGTAGCGGCCATTTGGGGTGTGCACCAATGGAAGGAAGACCTTTCTCTCTGTCTTTCTCTCTCTCACTGTCTATATCTCTACCTGTCAAATTAAAAAAAAAAAAATAGATAGCAGAAGTGAAAAGCTTTGCTTATTCTACGACCTACCTCAAGAATTTACTCTGTTTATTGACAATAAATAAACTAAAAATTAAGCTATTGGGCACTTATTGTACCCATTGTTTATAAAAAGAAAAATAAGAAATAACAAACACTCATAATAAAAATTTAACTATGCATTGTTCATATAACTGGAGAAGTCATTTAATAACATATATAGACATAAAAATCAATAGATGGAAGATGTTAATAAAACACATTTGAAAAGAAAGAGAAGGTTGCAAGATAAAATCTATAGCACACCTACGTTTTAAGATGAATATGGAAAATAAATAGAAAGACACTTATCTTTGTTATCAATAAATTCTTAATCATATTTGTACATATGCATTTATTAATTTGAATTGTATGAATTACTGTTTCAGTAGATCAAAAGATGGTCAAATATTATCAGTTTAACCAAGTTCAGCCTGATATGTTAACTTAATATTTTCTTTACATAAGTTTCTAGACTGTTTTATCTTTAATCACTGACACATCATTGTTGATTGTTCCACACATGAACTGAATACCATGGCATGTGACATTGTGACCCATATAACATTCTGATGGATACAAATAGGATCAAGTATATTTTCAAGGGTTCCATCTCATTTACTGATATCTTTACAATATTTGCTTCTAAGATTAATAGACTTTCTAAATTATTTTCCATTTTAGCAACCAACCAGCATTAATCTTTATTTCATACTAAATTGAATACTGGGGGTGCTCCACTTGTGTCTTCACCACCAAGCTTTCCTCTTTCCCTACACCATCCATGTGTCTGTTTTCACTCCTCCCTGTGCCACTCCACACTACCTGGGCTCCTGCTGCACTTGCTCATCAGAAAAGCAGCATAAACTGGCAGGAGCACTACAAACACCTTAAAGACAAAAACTGATCTGAAGGCAGTCAGGCCACATAGGGGATCAAACATCCTAAATGCTGGAAACATGGAATAGATACTGTAGCCTGAGGGAAACACCACATGGTGATTCTAGGAGGCCATCCAACAAGGACACTAGATGGGAATTTTTATGGGAAATAACCAGATGAAATAGAGTAGGATTGAAGAAGTCAGGGAAGCACAGTCGTGGAGATGAATGACAGTGGACGTGAGCTGAGAAGGACCACTAGCCAAGTCTCCATCTAAAGGATTTTAGAGTGCAATGTGTGTATTTCAAACTAGACATACGCTGGAACTGAAAGAAATGTACATTCAGTGTACTGACAGTATTTAAAAACATGTGATTTATTCTTCTATATTTCTCTTATTCCAATTGTTTAAAAATTCCTTATTAATAAAAGTTTCTTCATCTATTATAGTTCAATAAGAAGGGAAAATATTGTTATCAATCAGAATGTTACAATTCATTAAAAGGCCAATTTATTAACTCCACGAGGAGAAAGTGTTAAAATGAAAGGGAAGGTGTGTACAGGTAACTCAAAACAGGAAAAATACCACATAACAATGGCCAGTAAACAGTTGGTTGATTGTTCCACCTTATCAGTCATTAGGTGCCTTCTTGGTTTTGATCAAGGAAAGATACAAATACAGACAGAGCTAGAGCTGGATGGAAGAAAGAATTCCCAGTATTTTCAATGTTTCAAAATAAAAGCTACTCTTATACACTGTTTAAGATAGTATGAATTGCCAATATATATTAACTTTTAAATGTACAAATCTATTTCTGGACATACTAGAATAAGAACAAATGTACATACAGAATGTGGCTATTGTGTCAAATAACAGTGAAAGTATTGATCACATTATGATATATCTATACAGTAGAATACTATTAAGTTATTAAATCAATTAAATAGCTGCATATATACAGAGCTAGAAAGGTTTCCAACTTAACTGAAGAAAATAAGAGAATTTATAGTAAAAATTTATGTTTGAATAGAAATACTCTCAAGGAATGTACACTGTGGATTGCTGTGAGTTAAATCCTAAAAAGCAGATTTACATGTAGTATTAATGTCCTACGTTTATACTCACATTTCTGTATCTTTTCAAAGACCTAAAACAATTTTGCATTGTTTTTTATTTTAATATTCATTTTTTTGAAATATTGCATAAAAGGTTCTCAGGGACACTCAAATAAGCACTTAAAAACTGAAGCAAAGTTTTACACACATAAATCCTACTTACTCATAAAAAATTCACAACAGTCACTTAGCACAAAATGTTCTCAATGAGGAATTCGTGGCCAAGGTAAAGCTCACATTGGTGAGCAGTCTGTTGCCAGTTTCTCTACAATGTACTTCTTTCTAGTTGATTGTTACCAGTAGGGGAGGAGATGAAAGGCAAAGGGAGAATGACAGAGAAGGGGCGTGAACAAGAGGGGCAGAGGGACATGGGAAAGGATGGAAGCAAGCGAGAGGGCTGGCATGCAGGCTCACAGGCAAGCAGGCAGCACAGCTTAGTGAGCGGGTGTTTCCTCGGTCTTCTCGTGCCTGCGCACCACTTACAGCCTAGTGCTTCTGCCTGCAGAAGGTCTCAGAACGGCAATAAAGTTCTGGAAGTCTGTCAGCTGCCCCTCTCCCCAGTCTCTCCCCTCACGGACGTGATGAGCCGCAGACACTCCTTGTCCTCCCAGGATTGCTCAGGTTCACCTGTTATTTTTGTTTTGTGTATTAAAGGGATCGCGATCTCCTTCAATGAGCTGATGTCTTGTTTCAGAATTTCATCTCTTGCATCAGTTTGTCAAAGATCATGCCTTCACATCACACTCACAAGCCTGTTACGTTACTTATTTCATAATGTAATTTTCAATAATCAGTTTCTCTGGATCCCTTACTAAGTCTAGGAGCTTCTTGAGGGCATGGACCGTGTCTTATAAATCTTAGCCCATAGTGTTGTAAGTTTGAGAGAGAGGTGAGTGCTTTGACGGGTGTGGGTATGCATGTGCATTTAAATGGAAGGATAATTAATGATGTTTTCTTGGTAAGGAATCCATCCTACATCATAACCCTATTGAAAACTGATGACTGTAACACTATTAAAAATCAATTGCTGGCCGGCGCCGCAGCTCACTAGGCTAATCCTCCGCCTTGCGGCACCAGCACACCGGGTTCTAGTCCCGTTGGGGCGCCGGATTCTGTCCCGGTTGCCCCTCTTCCAGGCCAGCTCTCTGCTGTGGCCCGGGAAGGCAGTGCAGGATGGCCCAAGTCCTTGGGCCCTGCACCCCATGGGAGACCAGGAGAAGCACCTGGCTCCTGCCTTCGGATCAGCGCGGTGCGCCGGCTGCAGCGCACCAGCCGTGGCGGCCATTGGAGGGTGAACCAACGGCAAAGGAAGACCTTTCTCTCTGTCTCTCTGTCTCTCTAACTGTCCACTCTGCCTGTCAAAAAAAAAAAAAAAAAATCAATTGCTGCTCTCACAGTTATCGTCAACATATGGGAGGTC